CACTACTTGAGGGGCACCGTATTCTAACACAGAGGAATTCAACATCATCTGAACCTGTGAACACAACTTTTTCAGAGGAAAAGTCGGTCTGAACAGCTATTAAAACACCCCCACCTTTTCTATCTAAGCGATCATTTCTAAATATTTCATACTTACTACACAATATTTCACTATTAAACACATTCGGTTTTAGCCAAGTTTCAGTAAAACTCAAAATTTCATAATTTAAATCAAAAGACTTTAAGTACAGCTCAGTTAATTTAGTATTTAGACCCCTAACATTTTGGTAATAAATATTGAAGAAAAAATTACTTATAAGTTTTTTGATCCTGACTAGGGACTTTGAACAGTATTTTCATTCCGAGCTCGAGGTTTAAACTCCAACTCACGAACTAAAGCACCATTGGGTCAGAATGAACCATCAACAATGTTTTGAAAATGGTCGGTGGAAATATCAATTTTGAGGGAAGATATGCTTCTTTCGTATGAAAAATTAAATTTTCGAATAGCTATGTGCCGGGGATTAAACTTTGATGTTATATAAGACTTAACATCTTCTACCGACGTTTCACTAGAAAAGCGCGAAACACAGATTTATTCGCAGGAACTACGATTAATTTTTTCGGTAACGGAGAAGGTCCACTTTGAGATGTAGGTTCAGACACAGTTGTCGTTTTTGCTGCAGCCCTTGTAGTGACACCTGAGGAAGATGCAGCTTGAGATAACTCAACACACGGAGAATTAAAACTTATTAATTCCTTATTCAAGCCGGGAGTAGGCAAAGAATCAATGGGCGGAGTGTCAATGTCTAAAGCAATGGGATTAGGAACAAGCGATTAGCGACTTTTGCTAGAGTAGCTAACATTTGATGCTAGTTTTTTAAGAATATATAAGGATTTTCCACTGTATTGTTAGTGGACATGAAATTACTTTAAATACTGGTACGTTAACCACCAAAAACTAAAAATCGAAACAAATTTACATAGCGCACTTTGCAAGTGGACTACTCAAATCATCTTCAAATCTGACCGAATGTGTACTCCACAGGTTCACACAGGCATATCGACAGGGCGTCAAAAACAAAATTTTTGAGTTCGGCTCTTTACGCCAGCAACTGTTCGGCATATGTACATAAGACCAGCTGATCTAGCAGCACACATAAATTGAAGTCAATCAAGTTGAATCAAGAATTTTGAGGGAGCGAAGCTGAATTCATAGCCGGGAGAGTAAAAGAAAAAAAGGAGAAGGCCAACATACATACATAGGTCGCAAATTCCAAGCACGGGAATCATCGCGCGAAAGCGGGAGCGGGAGCTTCCAAGTGCTCTGGTCAGGCGCACTCAATGTGGATCAATCTCAAATACCACCGTTCCTAGTTGCCAAATTGGATCGTATTTTCTTCTTTCCCTCTAGTTCTCACCCGCAGGCATTTTTAGTAATTTCTTTTATCTAATTCTCATTTCTTACATAATCCATTTAATTAACTTTCCTGCCAAAACCCTGAATTTTTCGACTTGAAATACCTTTGTCAATTTAATTAATTATGTCACCATTTTTCCGCAAACATTTAATGAAATTAGTTAGTGGACTTTCAGGTTATTAATTGATTTTAGTAAACTTAGTTAAATTTTGTTGCTGTCTTAATACTCGTAGCTTATAAGTTTTTTAGCCTAGTCAATGAATTTTCGGATTATTATTTTTAAGCTCACCATAAGTTACTTATTTCCGAGTTTTTTTTTGTTCCGGTGTTCAATGAATCCGTGTCCGTATGAACTATGAGGCTATAGGTTAGTGTATTGTGTAAAGGAAAAAAAAGAAAAGAAAACGTTCGATTTAATACGTAGGGATAGACCGTGTTCGGTTCAAGCGCGTGGTCCGCAATGATTTCCGCGCGTTGATATTTATGTATGTACTAGCTTATACCCGCGGGTTTTACCCCGCGCTTTTATACAAAAAGGAAAAATAATTTAATGATGTTAGATTTTATTTCTGTGCCCATTTCGTTATAGCTCGTTATTTTTTAAGCGAGTTCAGGTATTTAGGCCGTTTAAAACTATGAAATTATAAAATCTCGTCTGCGCGCTAGGCATACGGCGGTGCCACGGCGGGTTCTAATATTTCCAACTCAAATTTAGTAACCTGGCCTTGATAAAATACCACTTCTCATTACTGTAGCAAATGCCTCAAGAGAGCTTTAGATTATAAGGCCGAACCCGGCTCTCCCTTTTCCATTTAATGAAATTTATTCTGTCAGTACGNTTGAAGTGCCACGCCCTTTTTCTTATAACCCTTCTTATAATCTTCTTCCATGAATTTAGAATTGATTTTACATACCCCAGTACCAAGTCCCAGTACTCTACCATGAACACCTCTAGAGATAAGCAGTATAAAACAGTAAATTTGTACGGCAGGAACCATGTCCCCTTTTCGAATAACGCAAATTCTTCTCTATGAGTATGGAATTAATTTTGTATACACATCTCGGTGCCAAGTTCCAGTCCTCTGCAATAAACACCTCCAGAGATATGTAGCATAGAAAAATCAATTTGCATGGGAGTTGCCACACCACCTTTTCCAATAACTCTCATTTTTCTCCATGAGTATGGTATTAGTTTCATATACATACATGCATACATATGTATTTCCATACCAAGCTTGAGTGCTTTACTCCAAACATTTGAAGAGATATGCAATATGAAACTTTCAGTCAGTATGGGAGGTGCTACGCCTCTTTTCCTAAAACGTCCATTTTTCTCTGTGAATATGAACATGATTTCACACAGTGTTGGCAAACTGTTAATCTGATTAACGATTAAAAATTAACGATTAAAATGTTAATCGCGTTTGACGATTAAAATTAATTAGTCGTAATCAACTGTACGATTAATGATAACATTTTTTGAATCGTTAATCGCTGGCTGCGATTACATTTAATTAATTTAAAACATTAATCGTTAATTCAATTAAAAATAAAATCTGATTAATTTGTCTAGTTGTCCGAATTTGAAACCAAACACCTCGGGGCTCGAGCACCCCCTGCCCCTACCTGGCTACGCCCATGTTGGTATATATCTTAATGAAAATGCACACCAAATTGCTTAGATTGATGAGGAAACCCGACTTAGCCATACCGGATTAACATGCTTTGTGTGCACAGGGAAATTGAAATTCCAGCATAACTTAATTAATCACCAAACCTACTTGATCAAATTAAGAGTTAATGATTAAAAATTAATTTTTTAATCGCGGTTACGATTAACTGTTTAGTCGGATTAAAATTAATCATGATTAACTGTAATCAGATTGAATTTAGTCGAATTAACAAACTAATTAAAACATCAATCGATTAATGCCAACATTGATTTCACATACATATCACTATACCAAGTTTCAGTTCTCTCCCACAAATACTTCCAGAGATATGTATGTAATATGAAAATTCCAATTTGTACCAAATTTCATCCTGATCGGAAAACCGGTTAAAGAAGTAGCCTATTTTTCAATCCAGGTCATAAACCATCTTTGAGCAAAATTTCGTTTTCAAACAGGTGGAAATTCTTAAAAAAGTAGCCTATTTTCCAGTCTAGGTCATAAGCTATCTGTGTGCAAACTTTCATGCAAATCAGTTAAGTGTTTTCCAACATAGGTCATAAGCTATCTCTGTGCGAAATGTCATGCAAATCTGTTCAGTCGTTTCCGCGTATTAATTTAATTAAAACTTTTTAACAGGTGGCAACTCTTCCAAAAAATTAGCCTATTTTTCACTGTAGGTCATAAGCTATTTGCTTGCAAAGTTTGATGCAAATCCGTTCAGACTTTTTCGCGTATTAATTTAATTAAACTTTTTTAGCAGGTGGTAACTCTTAAAAAAGTAGCCCATTTTTCACCCTAGCTCATAAGCTATCTGTGCGAAAACTTCCATGCAAATCAGTTCACTCATTTCCGCGTATTAATTAAATTAAACATTTCTAACAGGTGGCAACTCTTAAAAAAAGTAGCCTACTATCTAACCTAGGTCATAAGATATCTGTGTGCAAAATTTCATGCAAATCCGTTTAGTCGTTTCCGCGTATTAATTTAATTAAACTTTTTTAACAGGTGGCAACTCTTCCAAATAATTAGCCTATTTTCCACTGCAGGTCATAAGCTATCTGCTTGCAAAATTTCATGCAAATCCATTCTATCGTTTCTGCGTATTAATTTAATGAAACTTTTTTAACAGGTGGCAACTCTTAAGAAAAGTAGCCTATTTTCCAATCTAGGTTATAAGCTATCTGCGTGCAAATTTTCATGCAAATCCATTCAGTCGTTCCCGCATAATAAATAAATGAAACTTTTTTAACAGGTGGCAACTCTTAAAAAAATAGCCTATTAACCAATCTGGCCCATAAGCTATCTGCGTACAAAATTTCATGCAAATCCTTTCAGTCGTTTCCGCGTGATGATTTCCCAAACATCCAAACATACAAACTTTCACATTTATAATATTATAAGATATAAGATAAGATAAGATATAAGATAAGATTATAAGATAAGATTATCGTGAACCACAAAAATACTCCCTCTGCGATAGTTCCATAGTTGCTAACGCTGGAAGGTTTTTCTTTCCATGCGCTCGTACATGTAAACGTGTTTGCCTTTTATTTTCAGCAACCTGTCTCCTGGTTGCGAGCGTCTTCATCGATGGAGAGACCGGTGAGTGTTAGTAACTACCCTTCAGGCAAACGGTGGCAATTTATCTCGGCGTGTCAGTTGATAGAACAAAATGTTGCCACTACTAGACTCACTCCTGGTGATGCAGGTGGTGGTAATTCATTTTTGGTCACATTCAACAATCGTTAACTCGGCCGAAAAAAGCCGACTGAACATCAAAAGTACGACGCCAGCGAGATAAAAAAAAAATGACGTCGTAACAATCACGCGCAGAACTTGAATTTAGTACATATTTGCACCATTGAGCATGCGCCGACGAACAAAATTTTAATGTTCGGCGTTGCAAATAAACCATTTGTTTGGCGCAACACTCTAAAACAGCTGATGAGTAAGTGACGCATTTTATCGAAAACGGGAATTCAAAATAGTAATTTTCAAGTGTTGTGTGATTTATGTATGTATTAAATTTGTTGAGTTCTACAAAAGTTGTTGATTGCCACACGTTGTTTATTAAACTAATACAAAATGCTGGGAAGCCGCCGTAACTTAAAAAGGTTAGTAAGTAATAAAAAGAAAGAATTTGTGTCTAAACTTCTATACAAGCCGCCATGTGAGACATTGGAGACTCCACTGGCAACCTTGTGCGGGAGTCAAATTTGCAATCAAGTGGAAATATCGTGCCAGATGAGGAGCCGGTTAGTAGTTTGTGTACAAAAGATTTAAAATGCAAATTAAAAGATTGGGCACTAAAGTACAGACCTAGTAGAGAGTGTTGCAATGATTTGCTTGGAATTCTTGCCGAAGAAAATCTCGATGTGCCAAGTGACATTAGAACCCTTTTACCAAAAACGGCAAACTTTAGTATTAGATGTGTACCTCCAGGATTCTATTCCCATTTTGGTATTGAAAATCAATTAATGTCTTTGTCTAATTACTTTTCCGAAAGCGATGAAATAGTTTTCGACATTAATGTAGATGGAATACCCTTATTTAGAAGCTCCAGGGTTCAGCTATGGCCCATTTTGATTAGAATTGTTAACTCTAAGATAACTTCTATATTACCCATTGGAGTATATGTTGGAAAGCAAAAGCCCAGTGATTTAGATGTTTATTTACTTGATTTTGTTGAAGAAATGACTCGCATTTCACAAACTGGAATTTGTATTAAAAACAAAACAGTTCGCCTTACATTAAGAGCTGTGGTTTGCGATGCCCCAGCTACTTCATTTATATGTGGAACAGTTGGGCACACATCCTCTTACGGTTGTTCCAAATGTACGCAAGTAGCGAAGCAAATTGATCACGTTTTAACTTACAGTATAGATTCAGGCCCACTGATTTCAGATGAAGATTTTAAGGAGAGGCGGCTAAAATCTCACCATCAAAAAACTTTTCGTTCTAAAATCTCTCCTTTGGAAAAAATTAATCTTAATATGGTAAGTCAAGTGGCCCTTGACAGTATGCACTTGGTAGACTTAGGGGTGGTAAGAAAATTTCTGATGCGTTTGTTAAATAACAAAATTAACTTGGAATATAAAGTTTCAAAAGAGAATATCCTTAATATTTCTAAGGATTTAAAATCCCTTCGAAAATATATTCCATTGGAATTTTCTCGCCGACCGCGTGGCTTCGAAGATATTGTGCATTGGAAAGCCACGGAATTTCGGCAATTTTTGCTCTATACGGGTATTTTAGTACTAAAAGGAAGCATTCATAATGAGCTTTATTATGAATTTCTCCTACTGCACTGCTCATGCAGATTATTATCATGTCCAAAAAGCTACGAGCGAAATATAAAACTTTGTCAGGATATGCTGAAGCTGTTTGTGCAAAATTTCCCAGTTGTGTTCCAGGAAAATAGCTTTTGCATATCACAGACTGTGCAAAACAATTCGGAATTCTGCAAAATTTTTCAGCTTACAACTTTGAAAATTACTTGCAAATTTTAAAAAGTTACGTTAAAAAACCCACACATATACTTCAACAAATTTATAACAACGTTTCCCGCGAAAAGCCTAATAAACAAACTCAACAAGAAGGATTTTTAGAAGAAAAAAATCGAATAAAGTTAGTCACGTCGGAATATATTTTTAGTGTCGAGTTTCCCGACAACTATTGTTTTATTGAACCTAATATACCTTTCCAAATAGCAGCTTTCAATAAAGAAAAAAAACTTGTAATAGGAAAGCGACTTTTAAATCCAACTGCTTTTTTTGAGGAACCAATAGATTCATTAAAATATTTAGGAATATGTTTGGTCAATTTAAATCGCAGCAGCATAGACGAAAGTTTTCTTCTATCCCAAATCAAATGTAAGTGCATAGGTTTACCTCAGCAGGATAAAATTGTCTTGATTCCAATCTTACATGGCTGCTTTTAAACTCAATAAAAATTTAATATTTGTTTAAATGTACAAATAACTAACCATTATAATTTATTTATTTATAAGCGAACCCCCAAAAATGGAAAAACGGCCATCAAAGTACGTTAAACTCACGAAGACAAACGTGGAAACACAAGGTAAATATTGAAAATTAAAATGTACTTTTATTACAAATTCATTATAATTTTTGTGCAGATGAAAACCGGTGTGAGAATTGCGTGTGGCTGGAAGAAATATTTGAAACAAAAATAGATAAGAAATTTCAGGAAATAAAAGGTATGTATAAAACTTTGTAAGAATTAAAAAAAAAATTTTTTACTTCTATATTTTCAGATTCAATATCAAAACTACATTCATTCGTAACAGAGGAACTAAAAAGTATGCACTTTTTCGATTTTTATGATATGAAAAAATTAGAACTAAAGTTTTTTTTCGATTTTTCAGATTCGACCACTCATCAAAATACAGTTGTAATGGAAGCATTGGCTGAACAAAATGTTCTTATAAAAAAGCTATTAATTCAAGACACAGAGAACTCAACCATGTCGGGTACATTCCCCATAAAAGACGACGACACGCTAAAAGAATTGGATGAAAATATAGACGAATCCAACACTAAAAGCTATGTAAGCACTTTAGTAAATGTTTTAACAAGTGTACAAATTTCGAAAATAATTTTTTTTATTTAATTTTAATTGTTTTTATAAAAGTGTTGTTCGTTCTTTAACAAAAACAATAGAAATCCAGATTTCAAACTTTGTGCAAAATTTAAAACAATTCAACAAATTTTCATCAAAATTTCAAACTTTTTAAATTGTGCACAAAGTTTGAAGCCTGGATTTATATTGTTTTTGTTAAAGAACGAACTATACTTTTATAAAAACATAATTAAAATTAAATTAAAAAAATTATTATCGAAATATTGGGCTGCTACTATTTTGACCGCTGGCCCATTTGTTCCTTAATATTAATTTTTTGTTTTTTATTTTGTAGGTCAATATGGTGAAAAAAATTATTTCCAGTAATTTACAGAAAAATATTGACTTGATTTTCGAGCCGGAATTCATTTATGAGTACAACACGGACGGTAGTCATGGAAAGAAGCGGTTGAAGGACTTCAAGCTGTATAAAGTCGTCAAAGGTTCGTTAAAGTAAATTTTGAAATGTTATGTGTACTTATATTTATTTATTTTAAGATGCCGTTGCAACGTTATATGGTGTAGAAGAGGCTGAGGAGAAGATTCGAAGGGCGATCCATCTGTCGAAAAAGCGCTATTTGAAAAAAATACTTATAAGTAAACGAAACCAAAGTGACGATTAAAGTAGTCTTATACAGTAACTTACAAAAGTAAGCATGGAGTGATTTTTTTACAATAGTTATTGAAATTATATCAAACTGTTTAAACAGAGTTTTTAATTTTTCATTTCGTAGGTACGCAGTTTATAGCCCCTTTAACCTTTTTTGGTGACGGTGTTAAGCATTTCCTTCCATATAAAGAAAGTTTGGAATTGGTTATATGGAGGAAAAAGCTGAACCCCTCAGCAAAAAAGAAATACTAAAAATCAACGTGAGTTTGAGCTACTTTGAACTTGGAATTCATTGTAATAAAATTGAATGGGCTATAAAACTGGGTACCTATACAATTAAACATTAAAAATTCTGTTTAAGCGTTTGAAATTTTGATGAAAATTTTTTGATTTTTTTACACTTTAACAAATTAGGAAACTTTGTTTTTATGGTTTTATTAACGAACAAGCCTTATACATATACATATACAGTGGTCGATCAAATTATATCCGCACCCCATTTTGACAAGTTCGAACATATTATTTCTTTTTTTTTGTTATTGAATTTTGGTTATTTTTTATTAAAACATAGTTTTCTTTCACAAAACCAAGTTTCATATTAAAAAAAAAAAAATTCTACAAACTTTCGTAAAAATTTTGAACTTTTTTAATTAGATTCCCTAGAAAAATTCCGAGTATGCAGTTTTGCAGCCCATTGAATTCTAGTAGATAAAGTACAAGTTCCAAATGGCTAAAAATTACATTTGTCAATGTTTACTCTTGATTTTTTAGAACTTTTTTTTGTGTTCTATTTGCTTCCATATAACGAATAAACACAATTTATATGGAAGAAAACCGTAACATCCGCGACAAAAAAAGTTCTGAAAAATCAAGGGTGATTTTTAGCCATTTGAAACTTGTACTTTATTCTACTAGAATTCAATGGGCTGCAAAACTGCATACTCAGAATTTTTCTAGGAAATCTAATTAAAAAAGCTCAAAATTTTTACGAAAGTTTGTTGAATTTTTTTTAATAACAACCTTGGATTTACACGGGTTTTGTTAAATGACAAAAAAAAATAATATGCTAGAACTTGCCAAAATGTGGTGCGGCTATAATTTGTTCGACAACTGCATTTATTAAAAAAAAAAGTAGGAAAAGTTTTACTATGAAAAATAATTTGAATATTGTAAAAAAATCACTGTGTACTCATTATTTTGTGAGTGACTTATTTAGTAAGGTTACAAAATATTAAAGTTCCATTGCTATGTAAATTTAAAAATGAATTTTTGTGTTTCAAATTCTTCTTTCATAATTAGTTTTATGTCATAGGTATCTTAACTGACGTCAACATACAATTTTAACCTTACTTGAAATATTTATTGGAATTCTTAAATTTTATTTAATTTAATATGAGTGATGTTAAGTTTTTTCTCAAAAATGTATTTTTTGTATTCTAATGCAAATATACTCTCACTCCATTAAATCTGCGGACACCCTTCTTTTTTTAAATATTCACAATATTTTGCAAGCTATATTTTTTTGTTTGTTATTTTTTACAAAAATATGGTCCATGTTGTAAACAAAACCACATAAATCAAAGTTTCAAACTGTATATAAAATTAAGGAAAATTTAACGAATTTTCATCAAAATTTTAAACGTTTTACTCACATTTTTTTTAAATTTCTGGTATGCAGTTTTATAGCCTATTTAATTTTAGTATAACAATGTACAAATTTGAAGCGGCTAAAAAATTGGGTTGATTTTTAACAATTTTTTTGCTGACACCTGTACGTATTTTCTACCATTAAAAAAAAATTCGCTCATATCTTGTATGGAGATAAATGCCTAGAGCCGTCGCAAAAAAAAATAAAAATCAACGCGATTTTTAAGCCACTTCAAATTTGTACATTGTTGTTTTTTAAAAAATGTGAGTAAAACGTTTAAAACTTTGATGAAAATCCGCTAAATTTTCCTTAATTTTATATACAGTTTGAAACTTTGATTTATATGGTTTTGTTTACAACATGGACCATATTTTTGTATAAAATAACAAAACAAAAAATAAAGCTTGTAAAATATTGTGAATATTTAAAAAAAAAACAAGGGTGTACGCAGATTTAATGGAGCGAGTGTATGTATACAGGATGTCCCAAACAGCCGCACTTTATTTTTAAGAATGAAAAGAGATTTGGAGTTGAAAGCTTATTTAAATTTCAAATATTTTTTAATTGCAAACGTTTAAGTTGAGAGCGAACGACATCAAACTTGAATAATTGGACTAGGAGGCGTTATACAGTAAAGTTCAAATGAACTTTCGACTCCAAATTTCGATCTCTTTTCACCTTCAAAAATAAAATGCGGAGTTTTGGACACCCTGTATATATATAACATTCAGTCTTGGGATGTTTATGAAACTGAGTTAATTTCAATTTAAATTTAATCAAACTTGTGTATATTCTAAAGCTAGCGCAATGGTACAAATAAAGAGTTGCATATACAAATTTTTGGAGAAAGCAGAGTTTTCTATGGGATGAGGTATGTAGATGTTCGTAACTGGCACCGCAATCTTCTCTTTTATACCAATCACAAAACCGGTATAAAAGGACCTGTCAAAGGAGAGGTTCACTCAAATTATCACAGTTCCGCCCCAAAAGTCTCTATGTAGTGGCAATTGGTCACCTCCAATGACAACCCCGTGTTAAAGTTGCCGCTCGTTTTCATATATAAGAACCGGAACTAAGACCGGTATAATCTCCTTGTGACCGGTATGTGATATGTCAAGTACCGGTAATTTTGCCTGCAGGGTAAGCATATACATATACTAGCGCCCTTTATACTTATATATGTGCCTGCGTAGTTAGAGCAGCGCTGATAATTGAAAATTGTTTCCTTGAGAAAGATACACGGAGGTAGTAATTTTGAGATAGTTCAACAGTAGCGTGCGTAATTATTGGGACAGACTATTTTGGCGTGGAGGATATAACTAAACATAAATACATACAAGTTAATTGTATGAATTAATTTTAATTTTTAGAGCTATGAAAATAAGAATGTTAAATTTGTTGGATGAATTCTTTAGACATAGAAATTGAAACGAAACGGAAATAGGTAGTATTAATATTTATTTAGTGTACTTAATACTCCCATTTATATTTTTAATAGAAATCAATGTAGAACATTTGGCAAACGAAAAATAAAGATGATGTGCTAAATTATCTGGGTTGGCGTGGGTGTTGCACTGGCGCTGTAGAGGGGAAATGGGTGTCGCTGACAAATGACTGTTCGGACATACATATAACGGCATATTAGACATACGGACTCTAGTCAGGATTAGGGGAGTCTGCGATTTGAAGGAGTCACGGCAGAGTCCAAGGCTACGACGTGTAGATGGGGAGGGATGACTCCACCTGACAGGACTGGCCTTTATTTCTATCACTTATATCTGACTTTTCTTATTTTTACTTCCACATAGGCATGACCTAAAATTTGTTTGTTTATGTAGCTGAAGGTAAGGCTGGTGGAAACGACTCACCCATCCGACGAGCTTAGCCTGGGCCCGCCACCATGCCTTCATACCGCCTCGCTTTACCCCAACAGCCAGCTATGCAACAAGCCCATTCGGCGCCACCCAGTATTATAACCAAAAATTTGAGTCTTTTTTTTGCCGAAATTACGATTTTTTCAAGGTAAAATGACGATTTTTAAGCAAAAGCATTCGGCAACGCTGCTGGCAGGTCATTTCCAGGCGTGGATCCCGTTGGCATAGAGTAAAAAAAAAAAAAAAACTGTTATAAAGAGTTCAAACCATATAGCTCATTCGGCGCCACCTAGTATTACCATTCACAATCACGTTTTTTTTTTTCAAAATTACAATTCAGAATTTCGTTTTGTACCCAATATGAAATGTAGGTATGTCCATTTACTTAAACGCAAACGGATTAATAATCAAAGTGGCAGAGATTGCAGCGTTTTGTACAAAAAGTATTTTTGATGTTGAAATTGTATTTAAAATCGGTAAATTGTACTTTTTAAAACTTATTGTACTGAAAAAAGTACAATTGTACTTAAAATATCAACACCGCTACAAGCCCATGATTCAATAATACAAGATTAGGTAATTATTGACAGCCGCGGTTTGACACTCCTGTACAAAAGGTTGCATTTACGAAGGACATTCCAGTATTACTTTGAATAAAAGCAGCTTTAAGAGTCTCTTGTATTCATATTTTCGCTAGTTTGTTAACCTTTATGCCAACAGCAGAAAAATTATACGTACGTCAACAGCAGCATACCCGGGTATGCACATACATTTTGCATGGGAAATGGCATTGTGTTATGACGAAAATGTGAATACTTAACACATTTCTTCTAATTAGGCCTTTATTGTTATTTAAAAAAAAAATGTTTATTTTAAGTATGGAAAACAAGATTTGAGAAATACGTTATTTTGCTGTATAAATAATGAGTTTTTTAGACCACACTTTATGATCGTGGCTTTTGAAAATATATGCGAAAAGGATTGTTTAGGTACAAAACTTGTATTATTACGTGAGAAAAGGGGTTTTTAAGGAGACGCAACTAATTCTTGCGATGTTTCTTGTTACATCATGTAGTTCATCGCTTGCACAAACCTGAAGAACCCGTAAGCAAAAAAGTACTTATACTCTGATATTTACTTGAAGTTAAATATGTAGGGCGAACTTGGAGACTGAAGAGATATGGGTTTTTATTGCAAAGTGTTTCCCAACGAATTAAAATTTACAAAGGTAAAAATGGAAGATGGTGAATGCCTCACTCCACGACCACTTAGTGCACTTGATCCTGAGGAACAGCCAGAAACAGACAGAAAGATTTAGGCAAGGAAAGGTGAACTTTCGGTATCTGAAGAGATTGTGGACGATAACGAATATGATGTAACTCCAGATGACTCCGATATAGAACAAATCCGTTTACCAGAATACGACCTGGAAGACGAAAGTGAAGATGACAAAGGACGACATACCAGGTGAAACCAGGGAAACTATTCCACAAACTGCCAGTTTCGATCCCACAACATACTCAGGCTGCAAACAATGGACCAGCTCATGCCGAAGAAAAATAAATCAGTTGTGATCCTTTTAGGAATGCATTACAAACCCGAACTAAGAGGTCTTAAGAAAAAGTCACTTTTGATATTAGATCACAACAACACACCACACAACACAACACCACGCAACACAACACAACAAAAAAGTCGAAAAATGGTAAGACCTCTGGTCCAGGTGGTCCAACCCCACTCAGACTTGGGAATGTGGTGTAGAATACTTTTATGTAGGATATCGTAAAATTTCAAGTTACATCGGATTAACTTCCAAGATAATAGCAATTTGAAAACGCAAAACATACCCGGGTATGTTGCTGTTGACATAAGAGTTATGTTAAGTACCTGTTACACTGAGATGTGCTCGTACGTACGTATGTGTACATGTAATTATATTTAACCATAGAAATATCACAAAGTTTTATTTTATTCTAAATTTATACAACCTAATACCTGTGCCAGTTTTGTTTATCTTACTCTAGTCTTAATTAAATATATTCACTACAACCTTATTGATGACATATATAAATTATTCATGATGACATATATAAATTACTGTTGTACTACAAAAGATTTCTTAATCTTACTGTACTA